TGAGTGCCTAGAAACCATTGATGGGCAGAAATATGAATAGCGAAACGCAACAACAATGCCAATGTTTACCAGTGTTTGATCGATAATAACTGCATTTAAAGGCATTTCACTACACTCGGGGCTGATGCATAGTAATGAGCTGGTGAAAATTTCAAGAAATCAAAAAAAAAAAAAAACTAAAAAAATTTAAATTTTTATAATATATTTGCTCGTTAAAGAGTGTTAAAAAAATATATGTGAACAAAATCTTACAACTCACACATACATACATACATATAATGTAAATAGCTGTAGCGCTAGAAAAGCTTAAAAATATTTATAAGTTAGCTCTTAAAATATGCTTACATAACACAGAAAATACACAAAAAATTTTGAAAAAGTTCTTAAGTGCTTTATTAAGAAAAAGTTAGAAAAAAAATTCAGTTAAAAACAAATGAAATGTGTAGCTCCATGTACATACATATATATGTATATATAAATGTCAATTTAAAAATAACTGCAAAAGGATTTTAGAATATTTTAAGCGTCATAAATGGTCAAATGCGTAAACTTTGAAAATCTGAAAAGCCCACAAAAAATATAGAGCAGCAGCTGGCAAATATCGCAACTTGTCAATAAATTGTTAAAAAATAATGAATAATTTAAAAATTCAAGAAAACATAAGTGCTCAAAACAATTAAGTATAAACCAGAGAAATATATGTTTTAACAGAAATTGGTGCGAAAAAATAATGTTGAAATAAAAATAAAAAATTCATGCAAAAAAAAAACAGTAAAATAACAGAACAAATTTAAAATAAATTCTTTAATTCGACGGTTACGAAAGTTAAGAAATGTCAAAATAACAAAAATAATAAAACAGCAAAAAACACAGAACTTAGAATCACCCTTAATTTTTTGTTAATTTTCTCATTAACTCCAATTGCTCACTGCGGCTTGGCGAAATTATACGCGTCTGCATAATTTTGATTAATGTCGCCAGTTGAAAATACACATGGAAGAAAGAAGAAGCTAAAATAAATTTTTGAAAAAGAAAAAAATAAAAAAAAATTGTGCAATTTTTCTCTAATTTTTTTTGTCTTGATTAAAATATGCTTAAGTCACTTGTTAAAGTGATATTTAAAGCAACACTTCCCTACTATTTACGTTTATTAATTTTTTAAAAAATTTATAATTTATCGTTATAATTTTTAAAATAGCAACAAAAAAGTCAGCAAAAAATAAAAATAAATAAATAAATAACAATTGTGAAGAAAATTTGAATTTGTTTCATTGCGAAAAAGTATATAGTGCACAACAAAACCTAAAAGCCAAACAGGCCGTGCAACATCAGCCGCCAGCCGAGAAAACGTTTAAAAACTCATTTTTTATGCAACTTGCTGGTGTTGAAGAAAAAACGTTAGAAATGCATGCAGCATAATCGCGATAATTGCAATTGAATGCATCGAACAAAAACAAAAAAAAAAAAATAAATAAACTGTGAAAAAGAAAAATTGAAAAAGGAAAAACATTTTTTTCCCAAGCAACAAGTGCCACAACTGTGTGGCATGCATGCATTTTAGAGCGCGGCAAGCAGTCAATAAAACATGTGCCGTTTGTGTGCAGTAATAATCAAAACAACAATAACAGAAACAACAACATAAATATACATACAAAGCATTTTTACTTGCGCTCAATAATTGACCAGCGGGAAAAAATAGTGTGCAACAGTAACGAAAACAACAAAAGTACCATAAGCCAGCAACAGATTTTAATGGAAAACTAATAACTTTGGTGATTGTACATACTCACGTAAATGCAAGTAATTTTGTAGAAGCATACATATGTACATATGTTTGTATGCTGGTATATATGTAAATATTTCCGGTAACAAGTGTCTCACAATTTGTGCTCAAAACGTCAATTCGCACATGCAACGCCCGCAAACACACACATACCAGGTAAAGTGAGTGTTGCACTTTTGTAGGGCAAAAATAAAAAATTATAACAAAATAATGCAAGTGCACAATATAACGGAATAAATAAACAAAAAATTCGAAAATTATGCAAAATTACTAAATTAAAAATAACACTAGAGACTAAAAGTCACAAAATTACAGCAAAACATTACTAAATACAGTGAATAGATACGGAAAATCTTAAAAAAAATTTACATCAAATAACGGAAAAGTCACGCAAAAACGAAGCAGTCAAAAATCAACATTTTCTACAAAAAATCGCAGAGAAAATCAAAAATAAAGTAGAAAAATGTATCTGATACAGGTGAGCCATAAAATAGCGTGCGTGTACCTATGTACATACATACATATATATAATACATAGTTGCTTCGATATTTGCATAAACAAAATTAAAATTTGTTTACATACAATACATACATACAAACATACAAGTATGTTTACATAATTTTAAATTCAACCTCACACAAAATCAACTCTCAACTTTATATACATACAAGCAATCCACCGTCTTTTTTTTTCACACGTTCGCCAATTGCCGATTTACGTGCCGAATTCGCTGCAAAAAGTATAAATTTAAAATTTTTTTAATTCAATTATTCCATTTAAGCGATTTTTTCCCACAACTGAAGTTAGTAAGCACATACATATGTACATATATAGTGTTGAAATGTGGCAGATTTTATGAATAAAATTCCTTACCCCATACTGGAAAGCCATCAGGATCGAAGATTGTAGAGTAAACAAGAGAAAGAGTGAATGAGAGAGAGAGAGAGAGAGAGAGAGAGAGAGAGATGTAGGCTACATTTAGAGTATTGCATCAGAGCCACAAACATCTCTATCCTAAATTGCTGGTTCCTCTGCTCAAAGTGTGGATAATTAGTAGTGGACAAATTTCATTAAACCCTCAACTTACCTCTATTAAACGCACAACCGTTCATATGCATCTGAATCGAAATATATATAAGTTTGTATGTAACACGGAAATGCATTTAAACATAAATGTGAGCTCGTTACCTTTGAAACTGCATCTTATTATAAAACTGTTATGCTACATTGAATAATTGTTTGTTCAAGTAGAACTTTACTGGAAACAGAGTTACGCATGCGTACATAGTAGTTGCTATAAAAAAATTGAAAAAATGTTTATACAAGTGCACATGCATATGTACATACCACAGTTAAGTTTCCAATATTACAAGTTTGTGAACCTTTGAGTTTTATTTTAACTAGAATAAATGTAAATATTTATGGCCCCTTTCTTTTGAATCAATAACAAAATATCGATTCCACCCTCAAGGCAACTTTGTGTGGCTTGGCTTGCAGCTGCTTTTCAATCGTCAATAATAAGTTAAATATTTTATATTTAAAAGAGCACTTAATTTTTTTTTGAGACTTAATTTGAACTTTATATTTTTTCATTTTTTATTATTTTATTTTAATTTTTAATTTTAATTTAATATATTTTATTTAATTTTAATTTAATTTATTATTCTTACTTTAAGTTACTTTACTATATTTTTTTTTTTTTATATATATATTATATTTATCCAATTTAATTTAATTTGATTTTTTGTATTTAATTTGTTTTACTCATTTTTTTCTTATTTTTATTCATATAATTTAATTCGTTTTGCGTATTGTTTTATTTTGCTTAAAATAATTTTTTATTACGTTTTTTTCCTTAGGTTTTAGTTTCTTTTATTACTTGGTTTCATTATATTATATTTTATTTTATTTTTAATTAAATAAATTCGAATTTAATTTAATTTAATTTTATTCAATTTAATGTAATTTAATTGTTTTGTACCATTTAATTTAATTTTTGATTCCATTTTACTTTGCTTAATATAATTGAATATTTTTGTATCGTTTGATTTTATTTTAATTAATTTATTTATTTTATTAAATTTTTTTCCAATTTGATATAATTTAATTTAATTTTGTTCTATATTATTATTTGCATCTTACTTTATTTTATTTCATTTTATTAAGTTAATTTTTTCGATTTCATTATTATTTTCTTATTTGATTTCTATTAAATTAAAAAAAAAATACAGTTGAGGTTGTCTGTACATATGTTACACCAATCAAATAGCGCCAGTGACAAGTGTTTCTCCGCGCTCGCTTTGTGTCAATGACTTTTAAAAATATCGAAATACTGTAAAAATTGTATTAACATATTTTATTTCTTGAAAAAATTCTCGTTTCATTTTTGTCTCCAACAACACCATTGCATTTTTAAATTTTTAAAAATTTCTTTAAAAATATTTCCAATTTCATATGATAAATGAGCGAGCGCACTTCACGCTGTCACTGGAAAAATGCAACCTTGAATTCATGTAATAAAATGGTTCAAAAAGAAGGCGTGACCATGAAAATATGTAGGTCGTCAAGAAAAGATACGAAACTACATATTTATATACGTATTATATATGGAATTGTATTTAAGTAATGTGTTATTAAGTGAAATGATTTATAGATATTTTGTCATAATTCTGCACTAAAAATTAATAAAAAATAAGTCGAAAGACAAAATTAAAAGATATAGAAGCCCTTTTTTGTGAAGCAAAGTTAAAGGTATATAAAGTTGTATAGAAAACTGTTGAGCTGAAGAAAGTTCTTAGATGCTACAATCTTAAAAACCTTTTTTTTTCAAAAACCAAGCACTCATTCGTAAGTCGGCAATGTTAAGCCCTCCGGGAATATTCCTGTCATGAAATAAATGCTCTTCATAAAAAACCATCAGCCATTCGTAGGCGACTTAGTCTCTGCAAACGGTAGGTCCCTCAATTTGTTGGAAAAATCACTTGACGCAAGGCACAAATTGCAGGAAGAGCTCAGCCGAAAGTAGCTTTAGCAATTACCTGTTGCTTTTCTCTTGGTCTCTTCTTATTGATTCATCAGTATTTAAATTCTCCAATCCCTTCGAAATAAAGCATTCTGATTATTTTTAATTATTATTTTTTTTAGAATCTGCAGTTGCTATTCTTTATTAATTGATTTTTTAGCTTTAGTTGTTTTATAAACAAAGAATTTTTTCCATTTTTCTCAATGTTTGAAAGCAACAGTGCAATTTTTATTCAGCTCCTTTAAGAAAGATGCTAAACATCACTAGTAGTACGTGAATTTTTTCTCTTTTTTTCAATCACTTCCGACTATTTTTTATTTTACTTCAACGATTAACCTCTTTAGCGTTTCGGTGTGGTACTAACTGCATACAGCAAGCCCAGTAAAAGCACTGTTAGTTGTGTTCCTTTAGCCACAAAGAAAGTCTGCGCTAGGAAATATAGAAGAGATTTAAAAAAACCCAAACACATTTGCTTTGTCACACACCTTTCTTATGTAAAGCGGCAAAGTTTCTTTGCCACGCTTCGTGTGCCAGTCAAGACCACGTGCCAGCCACACTGTGGGCCAGGCTACGGTGGCTGCTAGTAAAAACGGCGATGCAGCTTCAATAGCTTCTGCAATATCCTCTCGATGCATCAAACGTCGCACCTCCTCGCCGAGATTGACTTCACGCGTCACTTAGAGGTTAAGCAAAGATATTGAGGACTTATAAATGATTAATTGCCGCTTTGGAACTCACCGCTCTCGTGGGACTGTTGAGTCGTCTTGCTCAGGATGAAATTTTTTATGAATGACATTTTCGCTGAAGAATTTTTCAATTAAGATTACTTATTTTTAGACTCTTTTTCAGTGTAATTTAATCTTTTTGTATAATCTTTGGACAGCTACTGAGTAAACTCTCAAGCAAAAATTTTTGCACTCCGAATAGTTACCACCATAATTTTGTAGACCTCTTTTCCAAATTATAAAAGAAATTTCACAAATTCACAAAAAGGCTTTCAGAAACAAAAATTTATATATTCTATTTTATTTATCAAAATATGATGTACTTTAAAATTTTATATTCAACAAATTTCAAAAAAGTCAGCTGATGCTTGCCATGAGCATCTTAAATGTGAAAGAGTACAGTGGTTTTCAATGAATTTGGGAGTAAAAAAAAAATATATATGTAGGAAATATTTCCAAAAATAATAAACGGAAATTTTTTCCATCAACAACCTTCATTTCACAGATTCCGGTCAAAAGTCAAAATCTCTGAGTGTGAGTTAATCCAAGGTAGTTCGCCGTTCACTCACTCAGTCCATGACAGTGCCGTTAGGGCGGTAATCTTCATCATCGATACCTTGTAGCATATGGTTAACCTTAATCAATAACGGACTCTCCTCGTACACCGCGAACATGAGACCCATACCAAGTATGGCAAATTGCATGAGTTTGGCATGATGGAATGTCTGTAGGGGCAGTGGCAGGTTAGTTCATTCATATACTCTCAGAATTGAAGGCTTCTAAATTCACCTACCCGATTTATATAAGTCACCAGAGATCGCTCGACGTGCGCCCGATTACTCCAATCCATGCCCCTGTAAATCCAATACGCTGGCCATGCTATGAAACTGGCAAATATGAAGGGACGTGCACGCGCCATTTTCGTCTCGAAATCCAGTGGAGCGTTTTTACTTAAGAAATCACGAAACTCCGTTGCATACGATATGGGTTCGGGCTCTGCAAGTGAACAACAACCACACGTACCGATATCTTTCTCGTGGTGTGACAAGCAAGATAACGAGTGTTCGTATTAATTGTGGCAAGTTGGCGTCATGTTTTGGACGTTTAAAAGGCAAAGAAAAAGAAAACAGAAAAGTCCAAAGTGCGCAAAAAGCTCAAAAAGCCGAAAAAGCTTCCAACTTTTGACGTAAATCAAAGTCAACTTACTATCGGCGAATTTTCTCGGTTTACAACAAATGTTTTTAGCGCAACACCGTATATAACGGTTCTTCATATTGCCACATTTAGTTGTTTTTTTTTTTTAACATAAAAATACCCACCTTTCGGCGCAGAACTGCTGAGGAATGGTATCTTCATTTTTTTTTTACAGGAACAGAACTTTTTTTCCAATATAAGTACAGAAATTTTTAGTTAAAAACACGTTTTGAGCTCGTCTACAATTATTTAGTTCATACTCATAACACGAATACTGATTTCCAAATGATGTTGTAAATTTCGCACAAAATTTTGGGTTTATATGCTTAGTTTTTTGTTTTTACTATTATTTGATTGATGAATTTTTGAAATTTTCAGAAGGAAAAATTTTCAAAAATTTTAAATCGAAAGTGTCTACGATTGCATTAGAGGTTGTCAATCGATTTCGAAAGTATTGGAAAATGATTCGAAACAACGACGAGACGAGACCTTGAGGAATTGAATACATATCGGTGGTTGTAGAGGTCTATTTTAACCGTCAGCTATTTCAAAACTCGATCTGAGTTATACTTTTTCCATCACGCACCGCAAACGTTCGTGCTTTGATCCATGATACATTCTTCATTCAATATAAAATTGACATAAAAAGATTTCTTGAAGCTAAAGCTTTTTTTCATTTTATTATTTATAAAAAAGAATTTCATTTATTTTTTTTTTTGTAAAAAAATGGTGAGGCGCCTGAGAATAATTTTATTTCCATGAGATTTCAGAATCTGAATTCTTTGTGGTACGTTTCTTTATTTTTTGTTTTCATTTAAAGTTTTTGCATTTTGTGTAGTAAATATATTTTTTGAATTTTAGAAAGTTGAAAATTTATTTTTAAAAAGGCCAATTGGTAGCACAAAGTAAAAGCCAAAAAATTCCTTTAGTCAGATAATTAATATTTTTTAAACAGTTTTTTGGTAAAGCTATCTTGTTTTTCGAATCATGTTTTGATCTATACATCTGTAGTCAAACATTCAAAATTATAGGAAGTTAATATTTTTAATTGCGATCGCCCCTCAGCTATGTCAGAAACTCCGACTGTATATCTGTCATGTAGAAATCCATCGACTGTTCTGCAAAAAGTTGTGACTCGAATTTTTTCGAGCCAGCCGCGAAGGTCACTTGCCCGAAATAAATTTCAAAACATATGGTAAACTCTTATTTATATGCGTTTTTTTTCTTCTTGAAAGCTCCATGTCCAAAAACACCCTTTATGAAGAAAAAATGCCTATATTAATACGCGTAACTACGTTCAGTTTGAATGTTGGTTTAGGCTTTATAAGCTTTTCGCAAAAGAGAAATTATCTTCAATTTCTAGTGAAGTACGCACTTTTTCCTTCAGTTGTAGGCACACACACACATGTGTACATATTAACGCCAAATGATATATCTATTTTAGACCCAGCATATGTACGAGCTATTTAGGTTAATTTGATTTGTGCTTTTTTACACCTAACTTTTGGTGAATTCAATTATTTGCCGTATTGTACAAGCTGTTGTTTTTTTTGCTTTTTTTTTGCTTTTTTTTTTTTTGCTTTTTTTGGTTTTTCTTTTTGTTTTCGAAACTGTCATTTGTATTGTCTTTCACTTAATTGCTTTGAGGCGTATTTTGTTTGCGTATTCGCAGGTAATTTTTGTCATTAGGCAGCTTGTATTTATGTAGTTATCAAAAGACACACACGAGTACATATCGCCCATGCACGCACGAAGGTATTTAAAATAAAATAAATTAAGTACTTTACTTTGTATTTTTAGTTTATAAGACATTTACATAAGAGGGAAGCGTGCAGCGCGTGAGTAGTGACTTTTTCTTTTCATACCTTTCTTTTGAACATCCCAAAATTAGTGAAATGTAAATCTAACTTAAAAAAAAAAAAACAAAAAAAAACAGCGGCTGGTTATTTTACTATTTATATTTTATAGTGAGTTTTTTTGAATTTTTGTGCTGTCCATTTATTTTACTGCAAAACATTTCCCCAAATGATCTATCAGGCAAATTTTATTTTTAATTTTTCGGCGTGGATTCATTGAAGGAATTGCGCGTTTGCCAAATGTGCCAGTAGTTAGAGGAATAAGTAAAATAAATAAAAATAAAAACACAAAAACACATAAAAGTAAAAACAAGTAATTTGTTTAATGTTTATTTGAGGGAGATTTGTTCTTGTTCTTCGTGAGGGGAAATACTTTCAGTAGCCCACGCGTATCCTCTTTTAACAAAGAGTCTATATGCCCAGAATTTTTTAATGGTTTTGAAATGCGTTTATATTGCCTTTCGTTAAGAACAAATGAAAACCAAGATAAACTTTTTTATGGCATTTTTGCTTAATAAAAGTTAAAAAAATTTTTTCGAGAAAATTATCAAAGAGTCTCATTCTCTTTTTTTTGGGAATTTTGAATCACAAACTTAATAAAGGGTGCTTTTTTAGACATGTGGTTTTCAAGAAGAACAGAAATGCGTATAATTTAATGCAAGGACCAGGAATTCAGCTTTATTATAAAAATAAAATATTGTCATTTCGTTTTAAAAGAGAAAAAAATCTATTTCGACAAATATTTGCTGGAATTATCTGCGTAGGCAAGTGACTTCCCAGAACCCCAGAAAAAATAAACCAGCGAGGTTTAATCGCCTGATGGCCCACGAGCTCGAGATGTTGCGCTCACCAAAAGTTTCTTGCCATAAATTGGTTGTTTCGTTGACTGTATGACAACTTGTTGGAACCAAAGCTCGTTCCCAGCAACATCTTTCAATTCAAATTCGAAAAAGTATTTTTGAAAATTTACAAACTATGCCCATAAGCGATTAAAAGAAAGCACACAATACATGTCTGAAAAAGTACTAAACATTAAATAATGAGCATAGAACATATATATGTATATGTATTAGTGAGTATGAGGGCCTTAAAGCATGTAAAATGCCTGTATCTACATACATTGTATATATAAATTTAAAAAGAAAAACAAATTAACTACAAGCTAGTAAACTAGTAGGTGGGTATATGTTGAAAAACAACAACAAAAATACTGTCGATAATGTTACTAATCAAAAGTTGTTCGTTAAAAGGGTTTTTACGAAATTAGAACATTTTTGTGAAAGTTCTAGAGATTTTTATTTAACATTACTGTACACTTCTGCAACCGTCATTGTTTTTTTTTGTTGATTTTGTAAATTTTTCTTTAATTTCTTCTTCATATTTAAATATGCTTATATCTCAAAATTCGTATTCATTCTTACTATCTTTTCCATTTTTATTTTTTCTTATTCACTTTGTTTTTTTTTTCTTTCGTTTGACTAAAAGCTTTCTTTTTTTTAAAGCTTTATACTCTTATCTTCAACCACATATTGTGTGATAAATTGCAGCATTAAGTCCCGGCACAACGGAATATTTTATAAGAAGAACTTTAATTCTTAGCGCAGGTTATTGGTAGTCTTTTCTTATTTTTACTTATTATTTCTACTTATTCTGTCCTACCTTTTTGAGCAAAGATTTGTTTATTACCCTCAAAGCTTCATCTATGCCCACTTTATTATCGAGCACATTTGTTTTCTAAATAAGCCCGTTTGCTATCTCTGTGTTCGTCAGTCGTCGCTACGCTTGCGCTTTGATTTGTAGCAGACGACTATACCCACATACATATTAACGTTTTTTATAGAAAAAATAACAACAATAGTATTCTATTGTTGAAAACACCTTTTCTAAATTACTCTGTTTACATTTTACACCGGCTTACGCTTGTTGCAACATATGTAAATAAACAACAAATACATTTGAGAAAAAAAAGATCAGATCTCCAGTTGTTGCGCTTTAGAACTTCTTCTACTTCAGGCCTATGTTTTACATTTCTATTTTCCAATTACAGCAGCTCCATGCGCTCTCCAGCTGCGCTGCAACTCTTGCTTACGGCTTTCAGCCACATGCTAATGAGCTAGAAAAGCACTCATTTGTATTTAGCCGCAACACTTGCATAGCTGGCAGCTTCTTTTCCCTTACACACACTCAGCACACCATGACTGATATAGAGGGTTATCCTTATTGTGGTTTCGAAACTTAACGTAAATAAAATTCATTTAAAATAATTTATTTCATGAAATTTCTTTTTTTATAGTAAACTTTGTATCTCCACCTTAAATGTGAAACCTTCTCGTGAATATTTGCTAACTTCCACCCGTTTTACTAAATTTTCGACCACTTTTTGGCACAAATGAGCGGTACCTCAGCTATAGCTTGGCGAATGTTGGTTTTCAAGTGCTCAATAGATAAAAGTTTAACCGCATGAACACGATCTTTTGCATAGGCACATAACGCAACGCTACAAACCGCACGATGTCGATGGGCACTGTTCTTTTGAAACCCCGAAATGGATAACTCTATATAATAATAAGACGCAAGCTGAATCGCTCATGGTATTTTACGTAATTTTCGGCTAAAAAACTTTTCCATCTTCTAATCTGACTAAGCTTATCAAGTATGTGATTATTAAAGATCATTACTTTCTTGATGCAATGGAAATAAAACTTTAGAATGAGATTAATAAAACAACAAGAGAGAAAGAGAGAATGAATTAATACATATTGAATCGCTAGGTGGCTCACTTAGCTTTGGGTTGCAATATTTCTCTGCTTGATGATTCTGAATTTTAAACGAGTCATCGACAGATAATATCACGATCAAATTCAAAACATTTTTCCAATATATGTACAGTAATGATTCCAGAATTAAGATTAACCAGAAATTTTATTTACTAATCAAGCGAGATATACAGCTTGCACATATCTACATACATATGTAGAATTATTTCCATTCTGCCCTCTATTTCGCTTTTTCATTAAACACATTAGCTAATAGATAATTAGGTCAGGATCACACCAAAGTAAGGTGGCCGCTAAGATTTTATATTAGAAGCGAAAAACTTGCAATTTAATCGACAGATTTGAATGTGCAACGTCATGCCAATTGAACTGGCGACGCTGAGTCGGCGCTACTTGCAACATACCTTCACGTTCTCGCTTAAAATTCAATCACTTTGTACGCACCAAACCAAATTAAACCAATTACGTGTGTAAAAGTGCGCTGTGCACAAAAAATAACAACAAATTGAAGAAAAAGCGTTAGAATTGCGCAAACACCGTTGCCTTAACTTACTTAAATAAACAGCCAAAGCGCACACAAGGCGAATACCAAAAAACTAAAAAAATAAATAAAAGAAAATACAAAAAAATTATAGTTTTTTCATCATCCGCAAAGCCACCTTACTTGTTTGCAACATTGTGGCAACTATGAAAGGTAGATAGCAATACGAAAGTCTGAAAAAAGTAGAAAAGGTGCGTAGAATTTCTCCTTCAAACATCATGAACTGC